GTCCAAGCCAAACTCCATTACAATATCTTGGCTATATATACGGACAGTGTTGAGCAGCGATTCTATTTCAGATGATGTTTTTCCATACAGTTTCAGATCATCCATGTAAAGGAGATGGGATAGTCTGGCAGATGTTTTTGATGTTTGATAGCCATGTCCTGAGTTATTCAGTATCATTGACAGAGGAAACAGTGCAATGACAAATAGTAATGGTGATAATGAATCTCCTTGAAACATTCCTCTCTTGATATTAACCTCTCCCAGTCTCTCACCATTGATCTGCAACTGTGTCTTCCATTGTGCCATCGATCTTTGCACAAATTTTCTGATGTTTCTACTGACTCCTGTTATTTCTAGGCACTTGATTATCCAGTCATGTGGCAGAGAGTCAAATGCCTTTTTGTAGTCATGGGGTTGCTAAAAATTGACGCTGATCTGATGGCATACGATCAGTCAATCAGATATCAATGTGCCATAATATTTTTATTTTGTTTTAAAAATTCAACAGATAACTATTAAATACTTCCAATAGACTGTATCATGTAACAAAGTGATAGGAGAGCATATACCTTTGCCTCATCAAAGAGAAACCATGATACTATATAAATATTATTTTTAATGTTCATTTTTCATATAAATTGACCATTATTGAAAGCTTGAATTAAAATGCTTTTTAGTAATTTTATAGAGGAAAAAATATAGAAAGAAATTACTTCCCCCTTCATTATGCCAAGGACAAATGTTTTCAGTAACCATATACTTACAATTTCAAATTTCTTTCCATTTCTTTATACAGTATTGTCATTTTCTCTAGATACAAAGGAAACTCCCTCTTCTTCCCATATCTTATCTAACATCTTTAAAAGCTCATAATTCAAAGTTAATCAAGAAAAATTCCATTAGTTGTTACCAAAGAAATATATCATACATCTTATTCTTTAATTCCTTCAAATGACGTCACACAAATTGAATTCTTATCAGATTTTCTTCATCTGTTCTCAATTTTAATACCGTAGCTCATCACTTTAAAAATGCAACAAAAACTCTCTTTTTCCCATATCTTACTTTTAAAAGCTACTAGAAAAAAAAAGAATCTAATATGTTTTAACCTTGTACAAATAAGCTAACTTTGTAAACCTTTCTTTTACTTTTAAGGGTCTTGATGTTATTCCTTTTAAGTAAAGCCTCCAAAGATGATTACTTTTCTTTCTCTCTTTATCTTTTCTTAGGAATTTCTTGGTGTAGCGTTTCCTGCCTGAGCAGGGGGTTGGACTCGATGACCTCCAAGGTCCCTTCAAACTTTATTATTATTATTATTATTATTATTATTATTATTATTATTATTATTATTATTATTTCCAAAATAAGAGAATTGTCCATTAAAATGCAGTTTCCGTGAATAGGAATAAGGTACACAGGTTCAATGCAGTGGGCATTAAAAGGCTTCCACTACTGTCTTAACAGGAAAAGAATAGCTCAAAGTAATTAATTTTGTACAGTTTTGGATTGTTTGAGACAGATTTCAAAGACTTTTTGAAACTAAATAGGAAGAATAGACTAGTTGATTTGATTTCAGAGAAAAATATCCTCAAATCTCAGAAACACTAGAGTAATTGGTTAGTTATATGTCCCAGGCTAAAAAAAAGTTCTAATCAGCTTCATTTATAGTTCTATATTGCAATTATTGGATTAAAAGTTAAATAAAAAGATGCACAGAAAACCTGAAAAGCCATTGTTGAACTGTTTCCATCTAAGTAGGAGAAGAACCTCAATGGATTGGAGTACCGTGGAAATCGTGTTCCTAGAACCTGGACTATGTATTGCAATATTTTTTTTCTGCTACTGTTATTTCCCTCGTACCTTCTTTGGTAGAAGGAAGGACCATAGGCCCAATACTTTAAGGAATAAATGGGAGTTGTGTTTATCACAAGACTACGTATTCCACTTGCAAAGGGGCAACAGGGTCACTTGTTATGCTCCTGTCAACACAGTGCAGCTTTACCCACAACTTTAAATCTGGACATATGCAGGAACAGACAAACATTACCTTTTGGGGAAGAATAACACGAGATTTATGGACCAGTGCCAGAATCGTCTTTGATGCATGTAAAGCTATTGACTATAATCAAGCTAAATGGACTAAGTATGGAGATAGGCTTACCCATTAAATGCCAAATATGTTTGCACATCTTACCCAACCTGGCACATTCGAAGGATTCCTGCAACCTGGTGTGCTTCACGATAACCAGACCAACGGATTTTTCAGCATCATTTGAACTCGCTATCAATTGAACCTGATACAAATATGGGTTCAAATTGATTTTCATGAACTGGAAACCACAACTGAGATTCCCTCAGTATCAAAGACTCTTATTATTATTATTATTGATCTGGCCCTAAAGAATTGTTTCATTTTTAAATGTGAAGCTTGAGAGAACATCATTTCTTATTTTAATTTGATTTGGAAAGGACCGTCCAACCAAATGGGCCCTCTATTTTGTCATTGTGGCTCTAAATTGTATTATTAGACCCCAGTCTGACATTACATATAAGGAATATGCCAAAGAAGTCACTGACAGTATTCGAGAGTTGGCTCATGTCCCTGTCCAGACATGGACAGGGGCACTGGATGTTGGAGGATGGTTTTTGGGAATGTTTGATACTTGGAAATGGATATTGTTCATTGTAGTTTTGGCCTTAGGAGGGTTGTTGTGTTTATCATGCCTTATCCCACTTATTTAGAGACTTGTTAGATCTACTATATCCGGACCAACTTTTATTGCTCCTCCTATCTATAAAGATAGACCAGCTAAAGCAATGATTTTGCAACCTTTCCTTTCTGACTATATTCCCCTCTTTAAGAGTCCCTAAGCCTATTCGGCTTTTATATTAAAAAGGGAGGAGTGAAGGGATTTTATTGTGCTTATGATTTTAGTATGTTTAAGTTTGATATTAGCATTTATTATATATATAGTAACCATTTTATATTGATACTTATAGTGTTATCATGTAATCATTGTTTTGTTATTTTGTAATCATTATTTTGTAGTTAATTGCTTGATCAGATGCTTTATATATATATTGGAAAAGTAACGGCTTCATGCTTTAGGTATAGGTGATTGCTTATATGAAAAGAGCACAGTAAGGGGAGGGGGAAAGGAGTTACGGATGGAGCCTGGGTTGCTATGTATGAGTCATCATCTAGGAATTGTTTTTTTGTGCCATCTTATGCCTAGTACCAAGACCTGATCTTTTTGTTCTGAAAAGGTATAAAAGATGGAAGACATCTTTTCTGGTTGTTGCCTTCATCTCTCTACCAGCCACGAAGAGAGATGGGGTCACCCAACTCTATTTTGATCAAAATAAAAGTTGTTTGCTTGCTGAAACCTCGGCTCAGGAGTTTCTTTGGCTCTTTTAAATTCCTGAGCAATGCTGGGGCAATTGTGAGGCTAAGTGGAAAACCTTACACCATTTTAAGCTAAACACCTTGGATATGTTGCAAGAATATTTCAAATTAAATAACAGGCTTACTCTCAATGCTGCAAATATATGCCTAATTAAAGAAAGGGTGTCTTCACTGCAATATCAGTTGTTCATGAGACTTACAATATTAAAAAATGCAAAAGACAACATGCTTATTATGAATATATGTATGTTCATAATGTAACTTTAAACAAGAGTCAGTTGAACACCATCCGATTTTTTAAAGAGCAGTCATGGAAAAAAATCTAATGGCAGGAATATGAACTTATAACTAATCTACATCAGTTGCAGAAAACAATTATGAAATAAAAATCTCTCACCTAAATGTCTCCAACTGTTGAAGAATCAAATGATATTCTGAGTTAAGACTCTCCTTTTTAAAAATTGTGATGTTGGATCTATCTATCTCACTATCAACTTGGCTTCCCATCAATGGACAATCTATTCAAAGATTTCGCTGCTAAAAGATGGAAAGAAGCAATTTCTTCTTTTCCTATCGTTCTTCATTTTTGCATAACCCTTCAGAACAACTTTTCACTGGACATAAGGGGAAGAAAAAATAAGAACTCTCCAGTGGGAAGCCTCTACTAATGTCTCCTGTGAGGATATGAGGACTTTTCACTTGCTGAAGATCATCACTATTGCTTCCAACTTCCTTATCAGGGATTTATGATCGAGTGCAGTTTACTGAGGCATTTTGATTTTTCTTTTATTATGGACTGGGGGGCCATAATCAACATTTATTCAACTGAAGAAAAAGCTAATCCTTAAAAGTCTAAATAGACTTTTACTACAAGACATTAGCTTTACAAAATATATTTCCAAGCAAGGACACAAGACATTATCTCAAACACCTTCCCACCAGTTTAATGATACATTCAGGATTGTGGTTCCCATGTCTACTATATAGATGTTAATGGAGCACAGGTAGTCCTCGACTTACCTCAGTACGTTTAGTGACCATTCAAAGTTACAACAGCACTGAAAAATGACCATTTTCATAATTACGACCTTTGCAGCAGCCCCATGATCATGTGATCAAAATTCAGATGCTTGGCAACTGGTTCATATGGCTGACCGTTGCTGTGTCCTAAGGTCATGCGGTCACCTTTTGTGACCTTCTCACAAGCAAAGTCAAGAAAGGTCGTAAAATGGGCAAAACTCACAACACATTTCTCTCTTAACAACAGAAATTTTGGGCTCAGTGATAGACACAAGTCGAGGACAACCTGTATAACCCTTTCACTTTGTTTAGTGATGCTTGTAAGTCTAACTGGCATTGAAATCCAATTATATGTGTTGGACCAATTGCTCTCTACCTTTGTGCAACATTTGAGCTATTTTAGTAAACCATGGAACATGGCTGAAGCAAATAGCTTTCTCCATTCACTTAAGATTACCTTAATAGCCAATTCTTTTTAGCCCTGCAAGATTAGTCCAAGAAAAACAATGAACAGACTGGATCTTAACTTTTAACTTTAGAGATGACAATCATAATAAAAACCCAGATAACATACCTTGAGTGTAGAACACAGCATTTCCACGTCAGAAACAGTTTTCTGGAGTGATTCTATAGTGGCGTTACGTAGATCCAGAGTCTCTCTCAATGAATTTACAATACATTGACAATCTCGTTTTTCTTTCTCTGAAGCAAAACATTAAAATGGAAGTAAGGGCCCACTTGAGTTTTATAAATTTCTACACTTAGCAAAGAAAACATTCTTAACACACATAGCAAAGATATGAGAATTGAGTGAGAAAGGGAAGGAATTTAGCCAGAGGCAGTACACACAACAGAGTACAGAATAATAGAATTGGAAGGGACTTTAGAGGTCTTCTATTCCAACCCCCTGCTAAAGCTAGAGACCCTATACCATTCCGGACAAATGGCTGTCCCATCACATCTTAAAAACCTCCCACAACATCTGGAGGCAAATCGTTCCACTGATTAATTGTTCTGATAGAGAAGAAATTTCTCCTTAATTCTAGACTGGATCTCTCTTTGTTAAGCTTCCATCTGTTACTTCTTGTCTTGCCCTCAGGTGCTTTGCAGAATAGGTTGACTGTCCTCTCTGTGAAAGTCTCTCAAATATTGGAAGACTGCTACCATGTCATTTCTCAGTCCTTCTAGTCATTAGACTACAGCTTCTCAGTTCCTTCAACTGTTCATAGTACAGCTTATCCTCCAGCCCCCCCAATCACCTTTACTGTTCTTCGCTGCACTCTTTTTAGAGTCTCAGAATCCTTTTTCTATCAAGGTGACCAAAACTGGTCCACTAATTTAGTCACTTTGTCAAAGAATGCAATAAAGTCACTGACTCTCCAAAAGCTATGGGTGTATCTGTTTTTTGGAACACTCCTCTGGGAATTACTTCCTTTTCAACTTTGTGTAAGTATTGCGTATGTGCTAATACCACAAGGAGGGACACTTGTAAAGAAAAAAGATTGAAAAAGGATGGGCTGAGGTACTGGGGAAGAGATTCAAGCTGAATCACCATCTCCTTTTATTTTCGACATCATCCACTATCTACTTTAGAACCAGTTACAATCTTCTAGAGTCATAAAGGACTTTGCGTGTAGATTAATGTTCTAAAAATTGTTTGGAAATCTGCCAAAACCATTGCATCAACAGCAATGGATACAAAGTGCTAGAAATAATCCTTGTTAAAAACTTCCTCAGATTTCAAAGCCTCTTTTATATCACTTCAAATCTTGTTCAATGGGCAGAGGCAATACACTCACACTACCCTCCTTTTTCTTGAGGATCAGAAAGTACTCCAGCACAGAGGTAATGCCTTGCGAGGAGTCACTGCAATCCATGAACTAACAGTTACAGAATTATGCAATGATGAAGTTTTTGTGACCAATTGTAGCAGTATTACATTTTGTTTTCTCAATGAGGATTCTCATAGATTGATGCATATTGACAAAAAAATACAATGAACAACAGGGCAGGGCTGGTATACCGAACTATTACACTGCTGTCTTGTCGTTCGCTTTCACTACAGCTTGTGCTTTGGGGTGAGGAAAACAAAACTCCTGGCTCAGTCTCTATAACTGTAAATATTATTATCCTTTAAGACAGGGGTGTCAAATTTGCAACGTCACGTGATGTGTCATGACCTATCGTGACTTTTTTGTCATTGCCGGCAATGGGGTGGGCGCAGTTTCGCTATGATGCATCTGGCCGACAGTTTGACACCCCTGTTTTAAGATCTCATAAGAGACAAATGTTACATTCAGGGAAGGAAGATCTATGAGACTGTTTCACTCTCACAGGTAAAGGTAGAAATGCCTGTAGATCAGGGATTCCCAACCCCCGGTCCATGGAACAATACCGGGCCGCGGTATGCCAACAACAAGCACGAACAAGCAAAGCCCCATCCGCGAGATGCAGGCAGCACACAAAACCACACAACCTCTGGTCTGCGGAAAAACCTCTCTCCACGGAATCGGTCCCTGGTGCCTAAAAGGTTGGGGACCTCTGCTGTAGATGAACTACAGTTTTCTTGCAGTATGGAAATGATTTGCCGTTGTTTTCTTTGGAGATCTTTATTATCTATCTATGGTATTCATAGTGATACTCTGCTTAGCTCCCAACTTAGACAAAGACAAAGCCTCAACCATTAATTTTCAAAAGCATTGCCCAAAAATGCCTCTGGTGCAATTATAACTAATTTTAGAAATCTATAAGTCAGCAAAGTATTCTCATATACATTATTTCAGTTGCTGGAATCTCACTAGTTTAAGTATTTTGAGACTTTTGTCTTTCAAATTAAATGACATCTTCTTCACTGCATTTGACTCATAACCATCTACAGAAAACAATAAAAAGGATCATATTCTTAAAATTGTGGAAATGGAATGAATAATTAGGTTCATAGAACATCCCTCCTCCCTTTGTAAGTTTCTTATTTCTCAGTTCAATGAATCAAGCTTATAATGCTTCTATTGCACAACCCCGAACATTAGCAGATAAATCTTTCCCAAAAGAATTATTAAAAGTTGAGTGTTTAGATCAGGGGTCTTCAAACTTGGCTGTTTTATGACTTGTGGACTTCAAGTCCTAGAATTCCTCAACCAGCATGGCTGGCTGAGGAATTCAGGGAATTGAAGTCCACAAGTCTTAAAGCGGCCAAGTTTGAAAACCCCAGGTTTAGATGTTCATTGAGTTCAACTTTATTATGTAAAATCTATGGATAAACAAGATTTGGCCCATAATTAACTAGGGGTTCATATTTATTTATTTATTGAGCGTATGGCTAAATAAGGTGGTTCATGGCATTTCGTTTACTGCCAACAGAGGAGAATATATGTAAGCTCAGAGTTGAACTGTAGAATCTCTCTCAGAGCTTGCTTGCTTGCAGACGTCTCATCACTTGATTAGGTAACATGCTCAGTCCTAGAAGGAAGTAGGATTTACTTTCTGTTTATATACAGCAGCTTGCCTGTCAGTGTCAGTGGGGGTATTATTTTCTTCCTGGCAGTTTCTTGATTAGGCTGTTGTTTATTGATTAATCCCTGCCTAGTGTTTTTGGATATTTTGGTGTGCACCCATGAACATCAATGAGGAGTCAGAAGGTACAATAAAAACTCCTTAAATTTCACAACAGATAGACAGACTCAACTATTGTTTCATCTGGAAACTGGAAACATCCTAGACCAAGCTAAATCCAAACACCAGGGGATTCCTGGAAGCTTAGCACTCAGACAAATCAACAGGCACATAGAGATAAACAACAGTTCAAAAGAGACAATAAAAAAGCTAAAAAGCAAACAAAAAGATCAGAACACCTCCTCACTAACAATCAACACTAAGATAACCAGGGATTAACACCACATGAACAATCAAGCAGTAAACAATAGCTTAATCAAGGAACTACAGATAATCCTCGACTTATGACCGCAATTGAGCCCAGAATTTCTGTTGCTAAGTGAGACATTTATTAAGTGAGTTTTGTCCCATTTTACAACCTTTCTTGTCACATTTGTTAAGTGAATCATTGCAGTTGTTAAGTTAGTAACAGGGTTGTTAAGTGAATCTGGCTTCCCCATTGACTTTGCTTGTTAGGTCAGAAAAGGTGATCACATGACCCCAGGAGACAGCAACGGTCATAAACATGAGTCAGTTGCCAAGCATCTGAATGTTGATCACGTGACCATGGAAAAGCTGCAATGGTGATGTGTGAAAAATGGTCATTTTCAGTGCCATTGTAACTTTGAATAATCACTAAACAAAACTGTCGTAAGTCGAGGACTACCTGTATCAATATAAAGAGGGCAAATCCAACTCCCTTCTAGCACTGAAGATGTTACAAGATAGATAACAAAATGTCTGCAAGTAAACTACCCAGCACCAAGTAGTCCACATTTCATTTACTCTTAATCATTGGCGGGCAGAAGAAATTTCAATTCCCCAGATTTGGAGGCAGAAATAATTTTATGCAGATGTGTAAAAAAACTAGGACAAAGCCCTAACAACAATGACGTCCTTAACTTACATTTTATTGTCTCAGACCACTCATTTTTCAACTTACCTTTCATGGAGAGCTGAGCTTTCACCCTATCTAGTTCATTCTGAAACACATCACAAAAAGAATCAAATCAGATTAAAGAACAAAGTCTAAAACATCATACAATTTTTTTTTTTAAAATATGTATGTATAGGTAATGTATGCAAAGGCCAGTCACGCTCTGTCTGAGCAAAACATGTGAGATCTGTTCACTGTTGTTCATTTTCTAAATGTTATAATTCATGTTGTTACTTGTCTCATCACTTACAATGGTCAATTAATCAGTTTTCAGCTACTAATTTATTATCGCAAATCAGCTGACCGATGCAGGGAAAGTGCAAGGAGCCTCCATGGACCACCAGAGTTCCATGGATCACAGTTTTGACAATCACTACTTTAGAACTACAGGAATGCTAAAAAAAAAAAAAGGGTCTTGAAGAATTAATATCAGAAAAATTACCATCTTACTAAGTATTTTTCAATTTCAGTTTTCAATTGTTAAGCAATTTCAGAAGATACACAGAAGAAAAGTTTTCACATTTTAACTTAACAGGGCAATCGGACAAATATTCTGCCAAGCAAAATATATTTGTCTATTTTAACTAATATTAAAACCCATTAAAACTGACCCATTCAGCCCACACTTCAGTGTAACAGCATCTCAAAAATGATTATTTTAACGAAGTTCAAAAAAACCAATTTGCAATAGCACATGGATACACTTAACACCAAGTACAATTAAAGCTTTGCTAATTGCTCGTTCAAATGAGCTTGGATTTTACTGATGCAGATTAACAGCTGAATGAAACAGACAGCACTAAACTGACACCAATATGGAGGAAATTTCATTAACTGAACACTGAAGAGGTCTTTGGAACAATTGTCACCTTTTAATAATAATAATAAAAAAACAGAAAATATATGGAATACAGAATAGAATACAGAATAACAGAGTTAGATGTCTTCTAGTCCAACCCCCTGTTCAAGCAGGAGACTGTATATCATTTTGTACAAATGGTTTGTCTCCCTTTGATAAGTTTCCATTGGTTACCGTACTTCCTGTCCTGCCCTCAGGTGCTTTGAAGAGCATGTTGTCCCTCTTTTCTCTGTTGACAGCCCTTCAAATATTGGAAGACTGCTATCATGTCACTCCTAGTCCTTCCCTTTATTAGGATAGACCAGTGGTGGCAAACCTATGGCACGGGTGCCAGAGGCGGCACTCGGAGCCCTCTCTGTGAGCACAAATGCTGTTGTCCCAGCCTTGCCTCCCCCCCGTGACTCCCTCCTCACCAGCAGCCCCCCTGGAGGAGAGTCCCCCCAGAGTGTGGCCCACGCGGAACAGTACAGCCAAGGTCACGGCAGCCAGGCAGTGTAGACAAGACTCTGCCCTCATGCCCAATCGCACACAGTTGATGCTGCGGAGCACGGGTAGAGGACGTGGCCGTCATGGTGCTGTTGGACTGCCTGGGTGATCTGCAGCAGGCCCTGGAGGCGGTGAGTGGCCCTGCAAGCAGGTGGGATGGGGCCAATTTTTGGGCACACGATCTCTAAAAGGTTCGCCATCACTGGAATAGACATAGCCAGCTCTCTCTCTCCCTCTCTCTCTTTATCTCTCTCTCTCTCTCTCTCTTTCTCTTTCTTTTCTCTCTTTGTCTCTCTCTCTCTCCCTCCCTCACACATATATTATACTATATATGAATATAACATTTATTTATTTCAGAATTTTACAGTATTTGATAATGCTACGAAGCTAGGAAAACGTCTTACAAGGAACACCCTGAACTCTGGGAAAGGTGCCCCCCCCAAAAAATCCTGCCGGAGGGTGCAGAGGATTAGCAGAAATGAAAACTGACAATTTTGCCTATGTACTATTTTATTGCTAATTGTTAATATTTTTAAAATATATTTACAGGGATTTATTGTGTGTGTTAGCATTCTTTTAAGCATTTGTGAATGAAATGACAAAACCAGCATATAAATATTTTATATAATGACTATATAAATGAAAGAATTCAGTACACCAGCAGAGATTATTTCCTAGAGAATAAAAAAACCAGGAGATTACAAGATCTCAAAACTGTCCTCCTCCAGGGTTACACCTCCTCATTTAAAGGGGTCCTTTATCTTCTGTAAATTATTTGGAGGGGAGCTGGAATTGTAAGATTCCAGAAGATGCAAGGCTGATAGCTTCCTGAAATTTCTTTTCTTCGGGAAAATGTTGAATGAAACCTCCCAGCTGATAATCAACCTCATCAATATTTAAAGTTATGAAACTTTTCATATTAGGAAATTGGATAATGACAGAGATATTTCTCTATACACTAGTTGTTTAAAAGCATTTCTGTGACACAAAACCATGATATTGACTTTCTCTCTTTGAAGTCTCCAAACCTGTATTTACCACAGCATAATATAGTACAGTAAGTTAACAGCTTAACCTTAATTAAAGGTTAATTGCAACCTTTAAAAATATGTTATTTGTCTCATATTGCATGAAGATGAACATTCTTACAACATTTGCTCATACTATTCTATTCAGAAAAATGCTTTTCAAAATTTGAAGAAGAGACTGGCACTATAGCTCACAAACCCTCCACCCAAATTTAATTAATAAGTTTACTAGCACAAACTATTCATTTTGTAAAAAAAACCTCCTCAGTACTAATATTGTCCATTGCCTGACATTCAGCCTGGGAATATAAGAAGGACACAAACCTTATCTGTAAAGCTTTTCTGCATTGAATGGGACATCTACCGGAACCACCTGCTTAAACAAATCCTTACAGAATGATAAACACAGCTTAGACACGCTTCCAAGTATTTCTGACATTTCAGTTACCTAGTTCATTCAGCACAGATAAGATGGATGATTTAATCTCTTTAGTAACTAATTCTGATGACAACTGCACGCCAGCTTTATAAATAAAAAAAGCCAAAACATATTTTAATAATTGGCATAAAACAAAATGAAGAAACTATCCTTCTGAACTGAATTACTAACAGTATGATACACTTAATTTTTATTCATGATTTTTCAAAACCATCATGATACTAATTTTTACTTTCACATCTGTAATATATTACACAAATTGAAAAAAAATATGTAATATATTTTATACAAAAATATGATCCCTTTAAAAATTTGCTTATTTATCACCTTGTATGCCAGCTCAGTGACTGAAATGATAACTTAACGTATTAAATTTCAAAAAAGCAAAATGAAAGAAAAGAAAAAATAAATAAATAACAATACATTCAGTATGCCAGGGAAAGGAACCATTTCAACTGCAATAATAACAACAAGATGATATACTATCAGGGAAAGATCATCTCATCCTATCCTAGGATCTGCTGAAAGTGCCAAGTTTTTACTTTCCATCAACTTTAAAGTATCATCTTTTTTTCATGGTTGCCTATAAACCATGCTATGCTCACACAAAATATGCCAAGAATATCATTCATATACATATATACGTATGTATGTATGTATGTATGTATGTATGTATGTATGTATGTATTTATGCATGTGGGGAGGATAGGCTACTATTTCCTCGTTCCCTATATATTTGGAATGCTACAAGCCACTTTGTACGCCTGCCAATTTATTAAAGCAATCTGCATGGACCAAACCTCAGCATGTTTGGATTGGCCCATTCTAGTTATTTCTGAGAGAAAAATGGTTGTTCTTATGTCAGACCACTGCGCCCTGTTTCAACAATCCAATCTGAATATTTCGGGACATATAAGAGGAACCATTATCTTGATTCACTCCAAACTGCGCCATGGTTCGCTCCCATTCTCTATAATTGGAAAACTAGGTAAAACTCACTTTTTCCAACAGCCTTCTGAAAAGTTTGTGTTTTAAAAATATTTATGTATTTTACCTATATTAGCTTTTAAAAAAATTTGTTCTAGAATAGCTCTCTACCATTATATATCTCGCCATGAAAAAGTGAGTTTGTAAAAAAAAAAAAAAAACCCATTGGATTACAGTATAAAATTTAACAGTGTATAATGCTTCAGATCCAAAGCCAAAAAAATAAAATAAAAATGTTTCAGACTGGATATGAGCATAGACACTACACTTAGCAGTGTGTCTGTAAAACAGACACATCTTTACAAAGGTGTTTATATAAAGCACCTTTTAATCTTCCTATCTGAAGTGCTGCACGTCCACATTCAACTGTTTTCTTACAGTAACTATTTCAAAAACTGCAAATTATTCCCTTTTCTCAAGTTTACAGCAACTTGAATATTTCATAATATTTCATATACATTATCTCAATGTGTAGGGTTTCCTTAATCAAAATGATGCAAGGCAGCAAACAATGGGTTTAAATATCTTTAAATAAACAAGATCAAATGTAGCAATAATAGTGCACTGGGAAATACACAAAAATCAAACAGCCACCATTCAAGCAGTTGACGGATTGCCTTGATCCAGGGAAAGGCAACTTTCTATTGCTTTCCTGAAGTTCAGCAAAGTTTGGGCCAAATGGACTGCAGGAAGAATGCTATTCCAGAGGCCAGGAGCAATAACAGAGAAGCATATCTGTAGAGTTTCACAAAATGGTATCATTTGTAGATGGGACTTGGATCATACCTTATCTTTTACGACTAGTAGGCAAGATTGAAAATATCTAGTTCCTGATCCATGAATAATCAGCACTTTGTATTACAACTAGTAGTCCACTAGTTTCCAGTGCAATTGTGAAGTAGAGGTATAGAAAAATATATTCTGGGCCCCATGTACTGTGCATAGCAACAGTTCAAATGGGAGGTGACTGTAGCATGAATGACTGAGAACAATCTGTTGGCCAAGAAAAGGGTCCAATCTGAACATAATGGAACTATAGATTTACGTAAAAAGCTCTCCTAGACAGATTTGCCACTTTTTCAGTGAGTGCCATGAGCCCAAGTGGACCCTCAAATTAAACATGAGTACCACCTGGAGAAAAGCAACCCTATCAAGAATTGAAGATGAGAAATTCCTGAACATGGCCAATCCCTCAGTCTTGCTAGGGTTGAACCTGTTCTTTTCCATCGAGATCCTAAAAGCCTCCAAATACTATGACAGCGTCTCAACAGCTTCATTTGGTCAGTTGGAATATACAACTGTGCCCGATCAGCATGCTGCCTCCATGCCCCTGGATGCTCTGGCCCACAATTCTCATGTAGATGTTAAATAAGAGAAGGGAAAGCAAAGACTCTTCTTAGGCTTTATTTATTTAAATAATTTATATGGCTGCCCATCGCACCATAGTGGCTCTGGGCAGCATACAATAAATAAAACTGCTACAAGCAAAGATTCACGATACCTGGGGGGTAATGCATCTCAATCCTAAAAAATACACCAATAAGTAGAACTCACGTAGCCCCAATTTAAACATAATGTTTAAAGAGGTATCAGTAAACTTATAAAGCAAAGTCAAGCTAAAAAGGAAAAGGCCATGCCACCTACATGAAATTCGAAATATGCTCCTACAGGAGGAAACAGAAATATTTCCTCCATTTTCAAGTTCCCTTTAAAGAGGAAAGTGTTTTTTTAAATCAAAGATTCCAAGTATTTGGATCAGTCCAAGGTGGATCCAAAAAGGCAAACAAAGGACCGCAGAAGCAGATTCATACCCTAGATGTTGTAAGAGTTAAGTATTTACTGGAAACAGTAATCTTATTCCAAGTACACTATTTAGGGGCTGTCTTGTACAGCGATCATTTGCAGTTACAACCAATGTCAAAAAAGTAACTTTGTGACCAATCCTTTCAGGTCTGTAAAGCAAAGCAAAGGTAAAGTAATATAAGCACACTTGCAGTTTCACTAAGTGACTGCTTCACTTAAGAACTGAATCGCCTGCTCCAACTCTGGTCACTAAAAGTGACTACCTACAATAGGTATAAACGTTTGCAAGGCAAGTCCAATTTTCCTACCTGTAGACTTTCTGCATCCAGTTCTGACTGCTCCTCTAGGGCAACATCAAAAAACAATTTGTTGATTATGTGTCTTTTTCCAACCTACAGAAAATATGGAAAAAAACCCCAGTGAATAAATGTGAGCAATTGTTTCTAAAACATAATTTGCATCTTATTGCAACACAATAAACACAGTTATCTCAGAATATAAAAATTAAAACAAAGCTTTCCTCAACATTAACATAATAAATTCTGACATATAAATTCGGCAAGATTGGAAACATATATTTAAGATTCAAGGACAGCAGGGATATTAATGTAACCTACTATGCACATGGGACTAATCCCAAGGTGACACACTTCCCACTTCTATTGTCACTGTGCACTCCTTCCCAAATTTGCAGTCATCATTCCAGCACAGAGTTTTGGAATATTGACAAAATAGCTCACACACCTTTGGAAAGTCAGTGCAATTTGTTCTCTGGCAGTTTCAGCTTAGCAGCTGAAGCTGAGCTCATGCTGTGCCAAATCCAAATATGTGCTATTTGCTTTTTAAAAAAAAATAACTGAAATTGAATGTGATAGCTATCCCCACCTCCCCCGTGCAGCTCCAGCTTTGTGTTCTAAGTATTATATACAATCATGATACTTGCTAATTGCATAGTTACTCTTTCACAAGATGTTATTTTGTTCTTGCTGCATGGTAACCAGAGATGCAAGAGGTGGGGAACAACAGAGGAAACCAGCAAGTCAGAAGAGCAACAAGGGCCAAACTCTGACAAGGATAGAAAAAGATAGAAGCACAATCAAATAAGAGCACGCTGCTTAGCACCTGGCAATTATCATTTGAAATTTTTACTTAATTCTGTGTTGCAGAGGGCAAACACCAAAGATCCTGACTACTGAAGCTTTCAAAACATAAGTGGAAAGCTGAATGGAGCATATTACATAACTGATGTAACTGGAATTTAAATTTAGTAATTTCAATAAAAGAACTTCAAAAACTCTCCTAAAATTAATAAAATAATTCACATTCAAATTGCACTGAAATGAAAGAAATGAAATAGATGCAACTGAGCTGTTATTCAAGTGCATCTTAATTTCAATTAGATTACTGTACACTAGATTTGAGCATCTTCATCTGAGCAATAAAGGTCAGCTGAATTCTGATTTCAAAACATTAAATTGGGTCAGAATTAGATCAGTAAATCTTTAACTAAACCTGTAGTTTAATGCTGCTATCTTCTACCTGATTCTCTCCTGATGTGTTGGAATTCAGTTTTGTAATACTCTGCTTACCTACCACTGATGAATGGAAACCAGTTATTTTTTTCCAGTGTGCATTAATCTTAACACAAGAGAAGCAAAATTCAACTACATAACAAATCTTACAGTATAATAATCTGTAAAATCATGTTCCTATAGAACTTCTATGCTTGAGAAATACATGGCTAATGGGTCTTCTATTAAAAGTGATCAGAATAGAGTAAGAGAATAACAGAGTTGGAAGGGACCTTGGAGGTCTTCTAGTCCAACCCCTTGCTCAAGCAGGAGACCCTATACCAGTGATGGCAAACCTATGGCACACGTGCCAGAGGCGGCACTCGGAGCCCTCTCTGTGGGCACACGCACTGTCGTCACAGCCCTGCCACCCCTGTGGCCCCCTCCTCACCAACAACTCCCCCCGGAGGAGAATCGCTCCCAGGTGCGGCCCGCGCAGAGCAGTGCAGCCAAGGACATAGCAGCCGGGCAACAGGGATAAGACTCCGCCCTTGCGCCCCATCGCGTGCAGATGATGCTGCAGGGTGCGAGCGGAGGGCATGGCTGCCATGGTGCTGCTGGGCCGCCTGGGCAATCTGTGGCGGCCGTGGAGGTGGTGGGTAGCCCTGCGGGTGGGTGGGGTGGGGGCGGGGGCAGAGGTGGAGGTGGCGGGGACGTTTTTGGGCACTCGATCTCTAAAAGGTTCGCCATCACTGCCCTATACCATTCCAGACAAGTGGCTGCCCAGTCTCTTCTTAAAAGTGATGGAGCACCCACAACTTCTGAAGACAAGTCATGCCACTGGTTAATTGTTCTCACTGTTAGGAAATTTCTCCTTACCTCTAGGTTGCTTCTCCCCTTAATTTACATCTATTGTTTCTTGTCTTGCTTCCTGGTGCTTTGGAAAATAGGTTGACTCCCCTCTTCTTTGTGGCAGCCCCTCAAATATTGGAACACTGCTATCATGTCATTCCTAATCCTTCTTTTCACTAAACTAGACATACCCAATTCCTGCAATTGTTCTTCATGTTTTAGCCTTCAGCTCCCTAATCATGTTTGTTGATTTTTTCTGCATTTTTTCCAAAGCCTCAACATCTTTTTTATAATATGGTGACCAAAACTGGATACAATATTCTAAGTATTCTACTCTAAATCATCTTCATTCAGGTGGTAGTTCCATTTTTCTTAAAGCTGAAATAAAATGGTAGAAATAGAACTTCTTTCCTAACTGAAAAAACAAGCAAACCTCAGTGGCTGCAGCTACCAATTCATGAGCAGAATGCTTTATAGATATGTGTTATTTTTGCCAGTAGCAACCCTATGAAGTACATGATTTATTGAAGAGCTACAGTTCATGCACGATTTAAGAGGAATTCGTACCCCAAATTAGTATAACTATAGGCAAGTAGTGAGGCACTTTTTGCTTTGGCTATGGTGGCTGAATGCAAAAGATGAAATATCTATGTGGGGACTTGAGAGAGAAGGTGAATATTTGCTAGGCAGCCATGTGGTGGTGTTTACAGAAGGCACTTAAGTGAGTGAATGTTGCTAGCACTTGCTGAGCCAGGCTGGGGGGACTGAGGCTTCCTGGAGCTGTTTGATGCCCACAAGGCAGAGTAACAGTGGGCCAAAATGGGGAGATAGGCGGCTGTGCCCTTATGGTTGTAAGTGTGAGTGATGTCAAGTGCCTAAATTTTGTTCATGTGATCACAGGCCGCTGCAATGACTTTTCTTGAGGTACAAATCTTAAGCCATTTTTTTCAGCACCGTTGTAACTTGAATACTCGCTGAATGAATGGTTGTAAGTTGAGGACTACTTCTAAAAGCAGCACTGTCATATTTATTAAAAAATACTTTACATTTAGGTCCTGCCATTCTGTCTAACAAGAACACTATTGCTAACATTAAATTATTAACATTCATAATTAAAATTGTAATGAAGAGAATTCAGAGGGCCATACATACAACTTAATTCCTAAGGGAAGATGAATTTACAACTTCTAGAACAGGGGTATCAAACTCACAACGTCATGCGATGTGTCGCAATGTATCACGATTTTTTTGCCATTGCCAGCAATGGGCTGGGCGCAGTTTTGCTATGATGCATTCGCCCTGCGGGCTGGCAGTTTGACACCCCTCTTCTAGAAGAATTTATCCCTCACACAGTTTTTGAAAGAGGGCACACCTTTAACAAGGGACTCTCCTTCAGATCTTAATGTGTAGGTAGTCCCTCTGATAGTCAGGATTATTTTATGTCTTTCCCAGACAAACAAGTGGCAAGCTGCACAACTAAATACTCCCTAAGTTTAAAAACCAAACTTTTTTTCTACTAGCAAACACTAAAAGACCTACCTGGATTCTGCACTGTGGACAGGTCCGACTTGGTGCAGTATCAAACCATTGGATGAGACTAGGGCAAATAATGACAGGGGGAGTGGATAACAAAATATTGGATTTTGTTAAAAATATTAAATAGGAAAAACAATCAAAGCCAAACAAGTAATAGCACAATATAGCACAATACTGTGCAAATTGTTTCCAGAGACAGCCATACTTTTTAAAACTAACTGGATTGCAGGATATACAATCCACGGTGTGGCAAATAGAACACATATTTATTGTTACAACTCCTAATGCGTTCAAAGTAAAACCACAAGTGTTTCCACATAATCAAATACTGCACCATTATATACAATACAGCTTTCAAAGCTGTTTAGGTTTTGCTGAAACTATACTTTACAGTATCACAGTAGTGGAGAGTTTGCCAATAATAGTACAGCATGCTAAATTTTGTGGGATGTAAATGTAAAGTAATAGTTTAAAAATGTGTATTATTTTAAAATAGATACAAATATGTCTTTGGAATACATAAGTTGCATGGAAATGTTATTTCTGACAGACCTTTAGAAAATGTGCATAAATCCTACATACAAAAATATGTAACTGTATCACTATAAAAATTAGCTTTGAAATGACTCAGTAATGAGCCTATGTTAATATCAGCTCTTACAGAATTTAAAATCTTGAACAGGACTTAATATTTCTGACACAAGAAAATAAAAGTCACAAATTGCCAAAAGAAAGCAATTACAAATTTGCATTAATATACCCAAAAACATTAAAAATGAGGTTATTTTTGTTTACATCTTCCACCTTCATAAGCACATTTTTGTGATAATAAAAGACTTAAAAACTTAGCAATCTATCAATTTATCTTTCCTGAACAAAACTATTCAATATAGCTTAATGTCAATAATCAATGCTAATAAAGAACAAGACTTCAACTATATTATATATGCATAAATAAGGTAAAAAAACAATGTGATAAAAACATAAGATTCAGGAAAGGTACTTATATTCTTTAAGAACATCTAACACCATTTTTATTCATATACTCACCACAAATGGTGGAAAGTATGTCCACAGTGAATAGCTGCAACATCAGCCTTATTGTCAAAGAAATCAGAACAGATGGTACAATGGGCACGGATAGGCATGATCTATAATTTCAAAAGAACAATGTAAGGATCATGCATGGAAGGCCCTCTTCTACAAAGAGAAAAACCACTTTTTAAGGATTTCAGATAAATGGTTCCACAGGAAAATCTATCTAGAACTTGTCCCAAAGGTGTTTTATCAAAAGGCAACTGGACTTTGTTTTTCCTTGAAGACATTTTGCTTCTCATCCAAGAAACTTCTTCAGTTCTTCAGTTTTCTTCAAGGAAAAAACAAAGTCCAGTTGCCTTTTGAAAAAGCACTTGTGGGACAACCATGACCTGGATGACATAGATATCTAGAACTTGTTGAATATCCAGAACAGAACAGCACATATCAGTGATTCAGAACATTATGTTGGACTGGAGAACAAATACAAATATAAAAGCTCAGCATTCTTTTGTATTGATTTATCAACTTCACAAGGGCTTTTACACATCAGAATATAAGATGTAATAAACATTTAACGTCAATAAGAATGTTACTTCTCAAAATTGTCTTCCTCTCCTTCCAAACTGCAACTGATATTCAAAACATCCTATCCTAATCTCATCCGGTATTATTACACCACTGCACCAGTTTCTTTTTTTTTTTATTGAAAATTTTTACAGTTTTACAATAAAATAATCCCCCTCTCCCACCCACCCCCTTCCCCCCCATCACCCTCCCCCCTCCTTCCCAGAGCTGAATGCAGGGTTAATAAAAACTAAAAAAACCCTTACAACTTAAATAAACATCAAACAATTATAAATACATTCAAAAAACAAAATTTTAAATACTTTAACTCCAATATATAAAAACAAAACAAAACAATAGTTCTAATCGTTACCTTAAACATAAATTATTCAAAAGCTAAATAATACTTTTTAATCTCATATTTATGCTGTATAAAATTCACCCATCTTTTCCACACCAAAAAATATTTCTCTTGCGATTGATCTTTCAAATAAGCCGAAATTTTTGCCATTTCAGATAAATAAGAAACTTTAAGAAACCATTCCTCTAAAGTAGGCAAAAACTCCTTCTTCCAGTATTGCCCTATCAGCAGCCTTGCTGCTGTAATTAAATTCAACATTAAAATAATTTCTTTATCATCACAATCAACAATAATGCCTAACAAAAACAATTGTGGTGTAAATTTTATCCTTCTATTAAAAATTCTTTGAATGTTTCACCAAATCTTAATCCAAAAAGCCTTTATATTTTTACATGACCACCAAATATGATAATACGTTGCATCCAAACAACCACATCTCCAACATTTAGGCTGCAGATTTGGATACATACGAGACATCTTTTGTGGATCAAGGTGCCACCTATAAAACACTTTATAAAAATTTTCTCGTAAATTTTGAGCTTGCGTAAATTTAACATTCCTCATCCAAATTATTTCCCATGTATCTAATAAAATTGGCTCTTCAAAATTTTTAGCCCATTTAACCATACAATCTTTAACTAATTCTGTTTCTGAATCCAATTCCACTAAAACACCATAAATCCTTTTTATATGAGTTCGACTTTGGTCTTTAATTTGTTTCAACAGATTCACATCCTCCCTAATCAAACCCACTTTTTGATCTATCCTCCACCTTTCTAATAATTGTCTGTACTGAAACCAAGAATAATTAATATTTTCTTGTAATAATTCATCCATAGATTTACCACTGCACCAGTTTCTTAACTGGGCAACTTATAAAGCAAATTAGAAGACTATGCAACTCATAATGCAGATGCTTAGCAGAAGGACTATTGACTAGTTAGCAAACAAGTCAGGGGCATTTCTCCCTTAGAAGTATAGCATCTCCGTCACCCAGCCATTGATGAGAAACAAAGCAGAACAACAAATAACAGAGCTGGAAGGGACCTTGGAGGTCTTCTAGACCAACCCCTGCTCAGGCAGGAAATCCTATACCATTTCAGGCAAATGGTTGTCCAATCTCTTCTTTAAAACTTCTAATTCTGGAGCATTCATGACTTCTAGAGGAAAATTATTCTACTAAGCCTGCATTTACTCTAGGAAGCTGGAAAAAACTAGTAGAGAAATAGAGAAGTGAGGCATTTAGTAAAAGCAGCATCTCTGAAAGACTCAGCAAGAACCAGACTGATGAGTTGAGGCTCTCCTGAATTGAGGACTTGAAAGAGACATCTAATCAAGGAGAGAAGCAACCTGGAATTAAGGAGAAACTTCCTAACAGTGAGGACAATTAACTAGTGGAACAGCTTGCCTTCAGAAGTTGTAGGTGCTTCATCACTGGAGGTTTTTAAGAAGAAACTGGACAGCCACTTGTCTCAAATGGTATAGGGTCTCCTCCTTGAGCAGGAGGTTGGACTAAAAGACCTCCAAGGTCCCTTCCAGCTCTATTCTGATTGAAATGATAAATCCATATCTCCACAAAGTTGTTCTGGTTACCCGGTCTATCGGTGGTCAGTCCGCGTGCCTTCCCCATACGGCCAAACCTTGCCTTTAGGAAGGCGGCTCAACAATGAAAGCGGAACGTGAGGGAAGTCTCGACTTTCCCACGCCCACCGAGTGTTTCTCGGCTGGACTTCAAGTTTTCCCTCTTATACGCCCCAGGACTGTTCCACAACCATTTTTTTCTCTACTCTCCCGGGGATCATCAGGATGGGGGGGGGGGAAGGGGAAACGGTTCTTTGTGCACCACAGCCGGATTCAAGTCCTCTGATCATCATCATCATCATTATAAAAAAGATAACCAGTGGATTGCCAGGTTCAAACTTACGGTATTAGGTTGCAAAAATCAAATTTGGCTCCTTTCACCTTCTTCCGGCTGGGAAATGACGCACGCAAAACCGGCGCGCTTGTTTTAAGGAGTACGAGAGCAACGTTCCCGCCCCTCCGCGTATTTGGCAGATGTCAAAGGGGCGTGGCTACGAGGCATCCGACATTCAGTGGCCCTCCGGTCAATGTTTTTAATGCACGTTTTCTGCGCCACACGCAGCTGTGTGTGGTAAACAAGTGTAGCTACTTTGTCTGTTTTAGCCCTTTTAGGCTTTTTTCTCTCTCCAGAAAAAGGCTGTCTTAGCATCCAGGGATACCTAGTGAGAATTAGGCATCCCAGGTGTCACGCTAAAGACTTAATTCTCTCCCTTCCTCATTAGGCGAACTCTGTTTCTGGGCTAGTGTGAATTGGGACGGAAGTACCGTAGGTCAGTATTTCTCAACCTTGTCAACTTTAAGATATATGAGTCTCAATTCCCAGAATTCCCCTGCCAGCCAAAACTGAAGTAAGTATAATTCTGCAAGTTGGAAATGATGTCATGTGACTGCAGCTGACCTTCATAGTGCAATGGTGCAGCAATGTGGCAGCACTAAAGCAGCAACAATCCCCCTTAAACACCAAGGTTGCATTATTTGTGACAATTGACAATTTTGAAGAAATCGTGAATCTACCGTGGTTATATGTAAAGAAGTGGACTGTAGACTCTTCAGCCCCTATTTGTTTATAAACCATATTTGGTGGTATTATGGTGATGGAAAAAAAAATACAATTCTTACTACGATTACTTCTGACCATAAACATTTTCGCTACCTTATAGAAGATTTGTCCTGACACACCAGTCTGCTCTATTTATTCCAAGGATGTGACCAGATATCCATAAACTCAGATGTGTATCAGCTAAGGTAGAGTTACCAAGTGCAAAAATTGATTGTTAGATAATAGAAAAACAATGCAGAAAATAGCAATTCTGCTACTATCTAGTGATCATTTGGAATTTTGCAGTCAAAATCATGTAAATCTAGTGATGGCCCAATCTATTAAAATAACTTGATTCAGTGTAAGATGAATTTACTAAACGACAACATTTACTTGTTTTTATTGATATAATGCAGCCTTTTTACTATTATAGTTTATTGCTTCAAAATTAGCAATGACTAGAAAATGTATAAATGACTGGGTCTATGAAATGATTTTATATGTTATTTTTATATGCTAATTGAAGATGATTACTAATTCTCTATTTCTTATTTACTTCAAAATTCCAAGCTGTTCAATAAGAAATGTAAGGAACCATTGGTAGAAAGTTTATTACAGTCAAGAGACCCAACATGAAATAGATCAGAATATAACAAACCACAAATATTTACCAGTATAAATATTCAATAATGTAACAGAATTCATTAATTTCCAGCTGCTTCACTACCTGTGCCCAAAAGCACTTATGTTCTGGACCTCAGAATAAACTTTATCAGTTTTTAATGTTATAGTTTCTTTAGTCTTAGATTATGTGTGTTTTATCAACTATGTTTAATTTAATGGAATTTACTACAAATGTTATATGTGTGGAGTTTACATTATAGCTTAATCACATTTATTTGGAAATAAGTCCATATTATTTTAGTGGCATGTGCTTGTATCAAGATAAGTATGGAGAGTTAAATTTCTTCAGAATAGTCCTAAGCAAGTTTAGTCTATACATAAATTATTTATTATTTATTTTAAATATATATCAGTTGCCTTTCAGGCTTTCAGTAGTTCATAAAATGACAATAATATGAAGGCAACTCAGAAATAAACCTCTGTTTGAGCATGTGCGAGAAATAGGCGGGGATAGCGACAGTAGGCAGTGAAGAGTGGAAGGAGAAGGTTATGTTGCAGTTGACTTGTCTGCTAGATCAGTTGAAAATGAACCCTGCCATAGAAAATCCCGCCAAATGTGAAGTGTGTGTAGTAATATGATTCCTGTGTGTGACAAAACTTTTGGCAGCTGCGATTCATTGCAAACTGTAATGTTTACGGACCAAAAGTGATGAATGATGGTGTCGTACATCAGTGGTGTTGCATGTTTAAAGATGGACAAACTGACGTGCACAATGAGGCAAGAAATTGCCGCCCATCTGTAGTCCGCGATGAACTCATGCAGGAAATTGACAAAAAGGTCTATGAAATCCGTCGGTTCACAATATCTGCACTTTCTTTACACTTCCCCCAAATTTCTTGGACTGTTTTGTACGAGGTAGTGACTGAAAATTTGGGATACCGCAAGTTCTGTGCTCGTTGGGTACCAAAACTCTTTTCTGAAGAGCACAAAACACTGAATGGGTTCGCAATGCTGTTACAGGATGGCTTCATTCCCAGGCAGGAGATTTTTTTTCAGAAGGAATTTTAAACCTTGTAAGACATTATGATGTGCCTCAATTTGAATGGTGGAAAACTACAACATTGTAGTTTTCCAATATGTATAATAAAAGTTCTGTATCTGCAAGTGTTTGTCATTGATAACCATTGATAACGGAGGTTTATTTTTGAATTGCCCTTGTACGAAATTAAAAATAAATAATAGTAAGAATAAACTCAAACATGAAGACTGACATCTTTGTAGCAGGAGGGTTAAAATTGTTTCCAATTAGCAGCCTATGCAATTTAGCAGGAAACTCTTAAAATAAATGTGATTTCAAATTTCCATCGGGGGCGGCAATTAGGGGACTGTGTTATCCTATGTAGCAATGTAACAGATGTGAAACCACAAGGGGAGAGAGAGAGAGTGGGGAAGAGCTACCGTATTCATTTCCACAGCAACGTGATTTAGATTCTTCAATGCAAAAATGATCATGTACATATTTTGTCTTACTGCTGCTTTAACAACAAAATCCTTTTTTCAGTTTATACTTTCATTAGACAACTCACTTGAAGAAGCTGACATAATCCATAAAGCTTATTTGATAATAAAATTTATTAATCATTAATGTGCCATAAAACTATTTTTCCATTGTTCCTGAGAAATAGAATTGTTTTCCATGCTTTTTAACCTCTTATTAAGACGTTTCTCCTTAAATTAAAAAAGTTAAAATAATTACACTGTCCACTGTAGAATAGAAGCTTCAAGTTATTTATCAGAATTAGCTTTCTTGTTGCCAAACAGTATGTTGTAACATTTATAAATGTAACACAGGATAAGATTTTATGGACAAGAATTGAATTTATAAGTGTCACAAAATGTTGTTTTATCTGCTCCCTAGAATTCCCATTCTTTGCTATTTTTACCCTTGTGGAGGAAACCAAGAAAACAGAGAAGCTATGCCAATTTTATGTGGCTTTTTGTTCTTTTCCCCCTTCAGGATGGCTTTTATGCATATTAGCAATACTGCACATAATAATAGGTGAATTAAAAACAACTTGCTGAAGAAACAGACAGCTTGACAGGGCTGAATTAAAGAAATGGCAGTAAAATGTGTGGGCAGGTATATAGCAATTGAACTACAGAAAGTCACACGTTGTTGATAATGTTGCTCCTGTGTCCCCAGCTGCTTCCTATTTTATTTTATTTTTTGTAGGAAAGGATGCTGGGAGAGTAGCTCTGCAGATACTGAATTAGACTGTTGGCTGCAGAGCTCTCCTGACTTCCCTTTCCATGGGGGAGCTGGCATCCCTTACAACAGGGATGTCAAACTGCCGTCCCGCGGGCCGGATGCATCATAGCAAAATTACGCCCACTGCATTGTCGGCAATGGCAAAAAAGTCACGATATGTTGCAACACATCACATTATATTGTGAGTTTGACACCCCTGCCTTACAAGGATACAGATAGAGGTGTTTCAAACTGGGTTCTTCTATGGTACAGCTGCCCATTTCACTTCCATGCCATAAGTGCTGCAATATTGAAAGTGCGTGTATGAGATTTTCATGTGTATTTAGTGGAATGTCCAGAACAGATGTCTAGAATGTCTCCTGTGACTTTGGTGTTGTGGCAGCAAAGCCATGGGTTGGGGAAGATGGGGAATGTTGTTACCTCCTGTGGCATCATAGCTTCTTTCAGTCTGGACATGCCAAAAGGTGATATGTATCTAGTAGCTGCCTCAGAAGAGGGTTGGCAATGAGATGAAGGCTCTTCATGAGGAAATGACTTTTACAGTTAGTGGGGCAAGGTCATGCCACAGCATACAGACATGTGGATCTTTCCTTATTTTTTGCTGATTTCCCCTTTTCAGTGCAGTTTTTTGTATCCCTGAAAATCAGTTCTAAGAGTCGGGAAACAATAGTCTGGAACTATAAAGGAGGGGGAAATTTTTTTAAAAATTGCATTTTGGCAAGAGCATTTTGAGCAGAATTCTGTTTGGAGGTGTTCCTACTACTAGTGGAAACATAGAATAATATACAAACAAAAACAGACAGTGCAAAAGCAGAAGTTCTCTCAAGTTTATTCTTTTTAGGGACTTTATTTTTTCAGTGATACAGTGCAGCAATTACACAGGAATTTCTGGGTGGCTGTAGTTGAAATAAAACAGTTTCATAGACTGAACTCAAACATACAAACATGCAGCTACTTGTGAAAGGAGGGAAAAGGAAAAATACTGAAGGCAGGAACTGAGGCTGGCAGGTGGCTGAGAAGGCCTTACCTTGGGGAGGTCAACTCCATAGATTGTTCAATTAAACCAATTTCCCTTTCGTATGCCTTGTGTGGAATGAGGGTGCATCTACTTCATGTATGGGATGCCACTTGTTTTCCTGACAGAGGGAAACTTTTAACAAATCTATAATAAGCAAACCTTAAAGAATCAGGTTCCATTACCTTTCAGATAAAGTGATGTAGAAAGCACACAACTGCATGTTATTCTTAAATACAGATTTGTATTAAGAAATGACAGCTGGACTCACACTTGTCTTTGTATATAGTTAAAGTGAGCCTCCCATCAAGTGAGTAATGCTAAGCAGCAATTGGGTACCTAGCAAGTTCTGGTGCTGTCTTGGGCACAAAGCCAGCTGGATGGCCTTGGGCCAATCTCTCTTTCTCAGAAGAAGGCAAGGAGCAAACTCCTTCCCAGAAAAGCTGCCAAGAAAACACTAGAGGGCAGTC